TTTTCTTTTTTTTTTTTTTTGAGAACACTGTGTTCAGATGTATAAGCCATTTTTTAAATCCAGATGTTTGCTTTCTTGATATTTAATTTTTCATGGTTTTATTAGTTCTCTGAACATTTCCTACAATGACATGGTTTGATCATATTCTCTTACCCTCCCCCAATTATTTCCAGATCCACTCCCACCTCCCCTATCCACTCACAAAACATCAGGACCAATTGGTGATTCCCAAATGTTCTGGGGTGTGGGGTCTTCTGCTGCAGAGTGGCTGACTTATCGGGTGTTGCCCTCTCAGAGAAAACTGGCCCTCCCTCTCCCAGTAGCTAAATATTGCCAATAGCTCCATGGCTAGGAGTGAAATTTTGTGCCCAACTCTCATGCTGAGATTTTGTCTGCCTTGGGCTTGCACAGATATTGTACATGCTGTCACAACTTGTGTGAATTCATATTTGCAGCTGCCCTGCTGTATTTAGAAGATATGGTTTCCTTGGAGAATCTACCACTTTTGCCTCTTATACTCTTTCTGTCTCCTCTTCCACAATGAACCCTGAGCCTTAGGAAGAAGGGTGTTGCATATACATTTCGTTTAGTGCTGAGAATTCTGCAGTCTCTTACTTTCTGCACCTTGACTAGTTGTAGGTCTACTACAAATATAAGCTTTTCAGATAAGGGTTGAGGGATCTATTAATCTGAAGAGGAAGTGCTAGAAGGAATGCAGGTGTCAGACACATGTCCCTCAGGCAAGCTGCAAGGAACATGTATGTATGTGTGTGTGTGTGTGTGTGTGTGTGTGTGTGTGTGTGTGTGTGTATGTATGTATGTATGTATGTTTGTATGTATGTATTATGATCTAGACACTAATCCTCTATCAGATATATAGCTGGCAAGGATTTCCTCCCACATGTGTGGTGCATCATCATCACTCAACTGTTTTGGGATAGCAGCTTGGTAATGTCATGAGTTCTCATTTGTCTATTATTGGCCTTACTTCCTGAGTAACCACAGTCCTTCTCAGAAGGTCCTCACCTATGATACACACGACTCCCCACCTTTTCCTTTCACAGTTTCAGGTTGTTTGTAGGTCTGTGATCTGTTTGGAGTTGATGTTTGTACAAAGTGACAGACAAGGCTCTCGGGCATTCTTCTATGTATACATGTTGAAAATACTGCCTTTTTCTTCAGTGTTTATTTTTGATGCCTGGGTCAAAATCCAGTATCTGTAGTATCTGGACTTATACATGGGTCTCCATTCTATGCCATCAGTCTCCATGTTCTCTTTTGTACCAATGCTACTGTTTTTAATCACCATTACTCTTAAAATCAGGCATTACAATACTTGCAGCATTTTTATATTTGCTCAGTATTGTTTTAGCTACCTGCAGTGTTTTGTTCTTCCATATGAATTTTAATTTTTTTCTATTTCTGTGAAAAATAGCATTGGAATTTTTATTGGAATGCATTGAATCTTCAGGCTGCCTTTGATAGGATGGCCATTTTCACAATACTAATCATTCCAATCCATGAGCATGGGTGTTCTCTCTGTCTTCTAGTATGTTCCTCAGTTTCTCCCTTCTGAAAGTATTTAATACCGAACTGTACACTGTTTGTATCTAATACTTGCTACCTTGCAACAGTCTTGTGGGACCTTTGGGCAACCCACTTGACCTCTATATGCCTGTTTCCCTATATTTAACATGATAGGATTAAGTTAAATAACCAATAGCCAGGAAATTCTATTCCATCATTTTAAAATGATGTGCTTCCTTTCCTACCCTCTCTCCAGATTCTCTCTGGAGTCCCTTTTCTCTTTCCAAGCATTCTGTCAGGTACCCTGCACTCAACTAATATGCCTTGTTTCTGTTCAGATGGTATTTTCCACCTGGAAGCTCCCCTTTCTGATTTCCACTCATTAGTGTCCTGTTCATATCTCAAGGGATAGGATTCACAAAGCAAGCCTCGGTGGGTTCCTTCCTCACAGCACTGACTATCTGTATGTTACTATCTGTAACATCTACTGACCTTGTACCATATTTGGCACCTATTACTTAATTCCCTACCTTCTTTCATAGGTAGCTTTAATATCCACCATTAGTACCATGGGATGACCACCAATGACATTGATAGCAGTAGAGTAGAGCCAGCCAGAGCCTAGAAGACAAGCTGTGTGTGCTGCAGAGGATAGATAAAAAGTGACCCAAGCCCCCTGGAGGAGCCCAGAAGATGTTGAGTGAATCCTAGACATTAGACATTGAGTGTTTTACACTATTGGAGTTAGGTTTTGCTTTGTTCATATTGTAACTGTTCCCTGAGTCTTCCCTCTTAAAGTATTTATTTTTTATTTGACAGGATCCCAGAGTTGAGATTTTTAAAAATATATTAAAATTATTTAAAATATTTATTTATTTTTAAGATCTTTCATTCCTGACAATTTTATACATGTATACAATGTACTTGATCATATCCACCCTCTGCTCCTACTTCCCATGTGCCCTTCCTAAATACATTATTTTTCCTTCCTTCCTTCCTTCCTTCCTTCCTTCCTTCCTTCCTTCCTTCCTTCCCACTTTTTTTTCCTTTCCTCTTCTTTCAAAAAAAAAATCTATAGCCCAAGAAAAAGACATCAAACTTTTTTTAAAAACAGATTTTACTTATTTATTATGTATACAACATTCTGCTTCCATGTATATCTGCACACCAGAAGAGGGCACCAGATCTCATAACAGATGGTTGTGAGCCACCATGTGGTTGCTGGGAATTGAACTTAGAACCTCTGGAAGAGCAGTCGGTGCTCCTAACCTCTGAGCCATCTCTCCAGCCCAGACATCAAACTTTTAAAATGAGAGATTTTTGGGTTTCTTTAGAGACTTGGGATTTTTAAAAGAGACTGGATGTTTTTAAAGAGACAACATTTGAAGTGTTTGAATTTGTAAGGCTGTGGGACTTCAGTTTGTAAAATGTTTTATATTGTGGTGTTTGTATTAAGGTGTGAACTTGGGGAAGAACAAGAAAGGGAAGGCCTGGCTCAACAGCGATGTGTCTCTGTGTCAAGTAGACAGTGGTGTGTCTCTGTGTCAAGTAGAAGGGGTCAGTTGTGCTGGCTAGTTTTGTGTCAACTTGACTCAAGCAATAGTCATCTGAGAGGAGGGAGCCTCAGTTGAGAAAATACTTCCAGAAGAATGGTCTTTAAGCAGACAAGACTGTAGTGCATTCATTAGTGATTAGTGGGGGAGAGCCCAACCCATTGTGGTCCTAGGTTCTGTAAGCAAGCCATGAGGTTAACTGTGAATTCTTAACATTCATAACATAGAGTAAACACCCCCAATCTAAAATAGAAGAGCCAGGCATAACAAGGATCAGCCACACCAAAGCAGAACCAAATTCCAGTAGGGCAAACACTGAACTGAAGTTCCATGCCTGCACCTGGGACTTGCAATCAATTGCACTCAAAAAGCTTGGCTAGCCCCAGCCCTCTACCTCTGCTGCCTTCAGCATGCACAGATTCTCTCCTGAGCTGTCCAAATTCTATGCTTTTTGCTCCCCTTGGCACATATCCCATGGTCCTAGCATCTCCAATATACTGGACTGGCCAAGGCAACTAAGGATTCACTATCACAGCTTTACACAATGGCCTCCTGGGACCTCTGCTCAGAGATTCCTACCCTGCCGCACACTGGCCTCATCTGCTCTCTCCCTCAGTATTGCACCTTCCATGCCTTCAAAACCAACATACAAGAATGGCATTGCCAATTCTGTTGCCAGCTTAAGATGTTGCCAGCCTTCTTGGAACACAGCTGTGTGCTCACCATGAGGGAACACTTTTCTGTTGTCCCAGTGAAGAACACTGGGTTTCTTTAATGACACAATCTCTTTAGTAGTTGCAGCTCTTTATTGTCTGTCCTGTCTTTAGCCACTACTTAAGCTTGCCTAGACACTTTTCCTTTGTCAAATAAACTTATCCATTATCTTTACATTCAACTCACTCAACTGTTCCCAATGTACAGGCAGGATGAAGCCAGATTCTTGACCAAAATCTCTCAAACAGCACCTAACATAGTTCCTGAATGCATCCCTGCTGACCTCAGAAACCTCTTGGGCTGGGCCTCCACTGTCTGCATCTTTCTCAGCATCACTCTCTCCCATGCTCCCTCTAAGGCAGCTTGTTAGTCTTTGTTTATGGTAGTCAATGGCATTCCTAGCCCAAGGTAGTCTTCCACATTCTTCCTACAAAACAATTCTAGAAGCATCAGGTTTATTACAATGACTCACTTCTCAATTTCTGTCTGTTTTCCGTGGCTGTGATAAAATACTCTGACAAAAGCAACTTGAAGGAGAAAGGCTATTTCAGCTCACAGTTCCAGGTTACAATTCATCAATTTTGGAAAGTCACAGAGGCAGGAGGCCGAGACAGCTGGACACATTGCAACCACAGTCAATAAACAGACAGCAGCAGGGTGGCGGTGGTGCACATCTCTAATGCCAGCACTTGGGAGGAAGAAGCAGGAGGATCTCTGAGTTTGAGGCCAACCTGGTCTACAGAGAGAGTTCCAGAATGGTCAGAGCTACACAGAGAAACCCTGTCTTTAAAAACCAAAAATAAATAAACAAATAAATAATTAAACAGACAGCAAGAAACTCTCTTTATTCAGTCCACAGATCACCCCATGGAATGGTGCCACCCACCATAAAAGTGAATCTTTCCACTTTACTCCAATTAAAAAAAAAAAAAAAATCCTCGGCTGGAGAGATGGCTCAGAGGTTAAGAGCACTGACTACTCTTCCAGAGGTCCTGAGTTCAATTCCCAGTAACCACATGGTGGCTCACAACCATCCGTTATGAGATCTGGTGCCCTCTTCTGATGTGCAGATATACATGGAAGTGGAATGTTGTATACATAATAAATAAATAAAGATCTTTAAAAAAAATCCTCACAGGAATGTTCAGCACACACACACACACACACACACACACACACACACACACACACACAATTTAAGCAAGATTGGAATAATAAGTTTTATGTGACAGAAGACTAACAAATGTCCTTAGTAGCAACTTCTTTGCCCATCTGGAGCTATAGCTGTCCTGGAACTTGATTTATAGACCAGGTTGGCCTCGAACTCACAGAGATCCGTCTGCCTTTGCCTCCTGAGTGCTGGAATAAAGAGAAAAAAAAAAAAACAGAATTGTTACTATTCTAGTCCCAAGGACTTGCTATCATGCCACTGCCTGTATTCAATGAATTCTTATTCTCTCAGAGAGAATACCTTATTTTGGATAGTTTTTATTTCCTTATTCTGGTCCACTGATTCTTTTCTTTGTAATGTCTAAACTTGTATTCATTTTATGCTATGAAATTTTTATTTTAGAATTTCCTACAAGATTTTAATTTATCACCAGATTACTTTCATGTATTCACTTAAGTCTTTGGGCATATCTATATTATTTCTGAAAAAATTCTTTTAAGCTTCTTGTCAAATCCCATTGTCTGTGATTTCTGGGTCTGTTTCTATCAATTTATGTTTCTGAACTATGAGACACCTTTTTGTGTGTTTTTTGTCTGTAGATTACTATTTTTTTTGATGTTGGACTTAAATGGACTTAAATTTCACCAAGGGCCAAACATTGTTATTATTATTATTATTATTATTATTATTATTATTTGTATTTGGTTTTTCGAGACAGGATTTCTCTGTGTAGCTTTGTAGACCAGAGTGGCCTCAAACTCATAGAGATTCACCTGCTCTGCCTCCCGAGTGCTGGGATTAAAGGCATGTACCACTACTGCCTGGTAGGTTATATTATTTTTAAAATTGTTTTGCTTTGTCTTGTCAAACATTTACTTGCAGATTATCTTAATCTTTTCTAGGCTTTCTTTTAGTTGTTTTAAAGGCATATCTAGAGTAGACTTGTAAGTCTAATTTAACCCTGCCACTGAGGCCTGACCTACCTGAGGTCTCCTGAATCCCTCATACATGTAGCAAGGCTTCTCTACAGAAGAATAATGGAAACCTGGTTGGGTTTCAGCCCTGTGTGAGCTATGGACACTCTCAGATTACATTACCTACACAGTTGTCCTTCCACAACTCATTATTCAGCCTCAAATAGGTTGGCAGCCAAATTCACATCAGTGCAGACCTCTGGATCTTTCTCTATAAAACTCCATCTTAGCTATGATTATGATCTTCACCTTCACCAGGAAACCAGTAGGCTCTCTCTGGGCTTTCTTTTTCTACCACTTCCAGAAAATTGCTTCAAGGAAGAAAACAAGAGCAACTGTATGTTGGGTCTATCTTGCTTTAGACTTTTCTGTTGGACATCAATGTACCATTCTGCCTGTTTTTTAATGATGTAAACACTGTTGTTTCATTTTGTCTAACTACAGGGTGAGGTCATAAAAGAGATGGCAGGGTGTAACAACTCTTTTAAGGGCCACAATCTTATAACAAGATATTACTTTTCTGGAAAAAAATGTATTGCATTTATATTTTGTGTGTGCACACATACATCATGGCGCATGTGTGTGGTAGTCAGAAAATAACTTGAGGTCGTCACTTCCCTCCTTCCACCACGTGGGGATCTACCTCAGGCTGTTTGGCTCCTCAGCATGTGCTTCAACATTTGAGTCATTTCAGCAGCCCTTACAAATTTTCCTTCAGAGACCAGATCATTGTATATTCTACATTTTAGCTTAGAAAAACAAATGGTACTAAGATACCCCACAATGCACCAGACCTGAGATTGGTAGCCAGGTACTAATAACAGTTGAGCTTGTAGCAAACATAGCAGAGACTATCTTTAGATACAACTATATTCCAAATCCTATCCTCAGGTTCCTGTCATCTCTCTTCTATCAAAACTTTTTTCCTCAGAAAGTCTAAAATATTTTTTTTTAATTACCAGGCTTACAGGAAGGAAATGTGTCTCCAGTGCTGATAGATTTAGCAGATGGTGGAGACTCTGAGGCAGACAGGAGAGCCATCTGGTAGGTCTTTCCATGTAGTTGCCGACGTATAGACGCTGAGACAGCACCAGTTTCAAGCAGATTAACTCCTCCTTCTCTTGTCAGATAAGAGCATACCTTTGCTCGACTTAGATCAGTTTCACAGAGGCTACTTAACAAACATTTGGAATTGTGTAATCTTGTGACTCATCTGCATCCAGAGACTGTGCCATTCAAGTTACTGAATGCTATGCACGAAGCTCTAGACATAAGTGGAACAGTGTGTGTGCATGCATGAGAAGGAGGGGGTGGGGAGGGGCGGCAGAGGGAGAGGTGGGGGGAGAGAGACAGAGAGAGACACACAGAGAGACAGAAACAGACAGAGAGACAGAGAGAGAAAAAGAGACAGAGAGGGAGACCCAGAGAGAAAAACAGAGAGGCAGAGATCCTTCTACTGGGTCAATATTCTGTTATTTCCAGACTGTGTCAGAAGCAACTGTGAAAATCCTGCTAAGTGTCGGTGTGGGACTGGTTGGGACACCAGTCAGTTTTACAATTTGAACAAATAGCTTCTCAATTGCCACATTTATTCCACTGGCTGAACCATACTGTGGGTTTAAATTATCTCTTTTCCTCCATATGGAACTACAGCTTAAATTAGGCAGTTTATATCTATGAAGAAAGTTATAGCTTCAAGAACACATGGCCTAATAACAAGTGTGTGAAAGAAAATCAGCCTGATAGAAGCCACATGCTTACTGCCATCGTATCCACTCTTCAATTAAATGTCACATCCTATGGAAGCTGTGATTGTCAGTTCCATACATCAGTAAGCTAGTACTACTGGACTTTTAAATCAAACACTAACCCAGATGTTGCTGTAGTTACTCTGTGGTTGTGGATGACCTCTGAAGACTTTGAATTCACTCTTGATAATGCCAGGAAACCTCATCAAATTCAGAGCAAAACTGGAGTTGGTGGTGAAATTTTGCCACAGACCTGAAGCATTAATTCCTGCCTGAGTTTCCAGCCTTCTTGCCCAACTTCAGACTTGCCAGTCTCCATACTTCATGAGCCAATTTCTTAAAATAAGCCTATGTACATGTATGTACACACACAGGCACACACACAGACAAACAGACGCACATGTACACACACACACACACACACACACACACACACACACACACACACACAGACACAACACACACTCACACACAGACACACATACACACACACACACACACACACGCTCACACACACACACACACTCTCACAACACACACTGCACACATCCAGACATACAGATACACACACATACAGAAACACATACACAGAGACACACAGACATACACACACACATACAGAGACACACACACATACACTCGAGTGAAAAGATTGTCTTTTTGGCAATCTGACGGAAATAGGAGCTTTTGCTGACAGCTTGTCTAGGGTGATTTTCTGTCCCCTGCTTGTCGCTTACCGCACACTACCTTTGTTTTCATGATTTCATGTCTTCTATCCTCAAATATTTATGGTTATATTTTTAACATACCCGTACTTGTTAGGGACAGACTAAGTTGCTGTAATTGATATATTTAAAAGTAAGAATTGAATTTGTCTCTGTCAACAGTCAGGAGGGTGAGCAGTCCAGAATAAGAGGGTCTTTGTCCAGATGGTCAGAAAGTGAGCCAGGGTCCATACTGTTGTCCTGTCATCCCCACAAGTGTGGTTTGTGTATGATGATGGCTGCAAGTTTCTCTCTAGATGTTCAAGCGGGGCAAATCCTAAAGTCCTGTATGTCCACATCACTGAGCTACTGCTAGGTCCCCACACTTGTCTTTCAGCTCATGTGGTAACATGACTGGGAAGCTGATTGAAAAGCACTAACGTTGCTTCACTTCCTACCAACAATGCAGCAATTGTTATCGTTCCTCTGTGGACTTTTTCATGCCTGTGAGCTATGCCTCCTATTCTCTCTCGCTCTCCAGCTTCACCGCAGCTGGTCAGTTGTAAGAAAGGCTTCCAGGAAGTCCTCAGACTCATCAGGAAGTGAAAGAATCAATTCAGACAATTTTCACGTCATTCTTCTTCTCCCTATTTTCAGTCAGAGCACTGGACATTGAGATCTTATCTTCTGTACCCTGGTCTCCTCCCTGTAAGTAGGAGCAAATCTGCTGGTCACTGAGTTAAAGATATGGGCGGTGACAAACTTCAGTATTAAATTTACTGAGATGGGCAAGATTGAAACCCCTTTACGCAAGGGCACTAGTGTAGACCTACTGAATCATAAACTCAGTATGTGGAGACCCAGGATTTGTGTTTGGGCAAGCCATTTCCAGGAAACTGACTTAAGCTGAAGACTGAGAGTTATGGCCCTGGGCAAATGGTGAAAACTCCACCCCCATAATAACAAAGATCTGGAAGATAACATGCCAACTGGTTGCTGAACTATGTCATTTCAGACCCACAGAAGAAGCCACAGCCTCTGGTAGAGTCTTGGCTATCCACTCCAGTGTCTAAGGTAACCTCTCTGGATCACATCTCCTAGTTTCCTTTCTCTTTTCCTTTGGTCCTCTTTCTTGACCCCAGTCATGATGGGGAATATACTTCTGTGTATGTTCATCTTATTGATTGTCGAATAAAGTACTGTTTGGCCAATGAGGCAGCAAGTTAGACGGGACTAGGAGTCAAAGAGGATTCTGGGAAAAGTAGTAAAGAAGTGATGATCCAGAAAGGAAATGACATAACAGGGAGACTCATATTTAAGGAAGGACAAGCAGGAAGTGGTCCTTTCCCCCTCCACTCTTCCTCCAGCAGCGAGATGTGATCCACCGGCAAGGGAGGATGCCAATGGAAGACATCCAATAAGTCTTATAAAATATATAGATTTATGATAATTAAGACTGAGCTAACAGATGAGAATCCTAGTCATTTGCCAAGCAGCATTTGTACCTAATACAAGTCTCTGTGCATTAATTTGGGCTCTAACTCAGTGGGCAGAACTCAGGCGGCTGGCAGAGACTGCCCACGTGGCGGTATGGGTGGGGTTGGCTTTTAGTGGAAAGATTTATCATAACATAGTCAGAGCCCTTTTGTCTCAGACTTGGCTTGGGCCTCCTAACCCAAGATCTTCAGTTATCTATTGCTTTGTCTATTCTGTTTCTTTGATTTATTTATTTATTTTTTATATTCTAATCCCAGTTCCCCCCTCTCTCCTCCTGTTCCCTCCACACCCCTCTCCACCTTCCATCTGTTCCTCAGAGAGGATAAGGCCTCCCCTAGGGGGTCTAATAAGTTTGTCCCATCATCTCATTGAGACAGGACCAAGGCACCTCCCCACTCCTCACTCCCCTGTGGCTAGTCTGGGCTAGGGATATCTCCATATAGAATGGGCTCCACTAAGTCAGTTTGTGCACTAGTGTTACATCTTGGACCCAGTGCCAGTGGCCTCATATATTGTCCCAGCTGCACCATTGTCACCTATATTAAGGGAGTCTAGTTTGGTCTTATGCAGATTCCCCATTTGTCAGACCTGAGTCAGTGATCTCTCACTAGCTCAGGTCAGCTGATTCTGTGGGTTTCCCCATCATGATTTTCACTCCTTTGTTCATAATATTGCTCCTCCTTCACTTCAGTTGTACTCCAGGAGCTTGGCCCATTGGTTAGTTGTGGATTTCTGAATCTGCTTCCATCTGTTTCTGGAAGGGGGTTCTAGTTTCTCTGGGGTTGTGGATTGTAGGCTGGGTATCTTTTGCTTTATTTATGGTATCCACTTATGAGTAATACTATTTTTGTCTTTCAGGTTTTGGGTTACCTCAATCAGGATGTTTTTTCTTTTTTTATGTTCTGTCCATTTGCCTGCAAATTTTAGGATGTCATTGTTTCTTACTGCTGAGTAGTACACCATTGTGTAAATATACCACATTTTCTTTACCCATTCTTCAGTTGAGGGGTATCTATGTTGTTTCCAAGATTTGGCTATTACAAATAATATAGCTATGAACACAGTTGAGCAAATGTCCTTGTGGTGTGAATGTGCCTAATTTGGGTATATGCCCAACAGTGGTATTGCAGGGTCTTGAGGTAGATTGATCCCAAATTTTCTGAGAAATCATCATACTGATTTCCAAGAGGCTGTACAAGTTTGCACTCCCACCAGCAATGGAGGAGTATTTCCCTTTCTCCATATCCTCTCCAGCATAAGCTGTCTATTGGTGTTTTTGATCTTAGTCATTCTGATCGGTGTAAGATGGAATCTCAGAGTGGTTTTGATTTGCATTTGCCTGATGACTTGGATGTTGATGAAATGGATGTTGAACATTTCCTTAAGTGTTTTTCTGCCAGTTGAGATTGTTCTATTAAGAATTCTCTGTTTAGCGCTATATCCCATTTTTTAATTGGATTATTTAGTAGTTTGATTTCTAGTTTCTTGAGTTCTTTGTATATTTTGGAGATTAGCCCTCTGTCCGATGTGGGGTTGGTGAAGATCTTTTTTTTTTTGTTTGTTTTTTGTTTTTGAAGTCAGAACTGTTTAGAAAATCTCTGAAACATATATTCCATTTTCAGTAGCACTCAAATAAAGTGGGGAATCTATACATCCAACTCTTCAGTAGCCAGTTAACTACTAGAACTTCCAAAACCAGGGACAAGCATTTTTAAATGTCTTTCTCAGGCTGGGTACAGATATGTTCCTGGATATGGCTTAGTCACCCTAACAGAAGTTGTGCACTTTTGACCTTGAATAATTGCTTTTGTATTATCAATTCTTCCCTTAGATCTCTGTCTTTTTGTTGGAGAAATGTGACATCAAAACTTTGAAGTTTCTGGACTAGAAAATGGAGAACACTCCCAAGATCTATTTTCCATGTCAAAGGAATCATCTCAAAATGCAAACTTCTGCTTAAAAGCATTGGATATTAAAGACACTGGATCCCATTGTGAACTCTGTCTTTTCTTCTTCTGAATGGGTCCACCACCTGGTAACCTTTCAGTGGGACCTAGTTTGACCTTATTCATGTCCTTTAGAATGTCCACCATGTTTGGAACATCACTAACTCTCTGGCTTTCTGAATGATGGCTACCATTCGCCTTGTTAACACCTGAGTGCTGCTTTTCCATTGCAGTTGCCGGATTATCTCTGTTTGTAGATCCAGG